TTGTTGAGATGACTCCTTCTTTGCGCTGGTCGGCTCTGAACGCACTGCCTCATAAGGGCGTGCGTCAACCCTCGCCTTGGCCTCGTAACCGAGACAACCTTGGGACCATTTAAAGGCGACTACCTTTCCAGGAGACCGATAGCGGCTCTGAGTGGGGACCCAACAAGAACAAAATGCAAACGAACAAAAACACTAAGGACGAGGGAGGAAGCGGGTCGAAACCGACCTCCGCTGTAGTGGACGGTTCCCTGGGGGGGACACTTTCACCGAGGGGGACGAAAACGTCCCCGGTTAAGGGTGAGAAAGGAAATCCAGGGGGTGCCTGGCTTACCGTCACGGGGAGCGGTAAGGCAGGGGGAGTCGGCAGCAGTCTGCCGACGGCAACCTTGGGTTGGGCGGAAGTGCGAGGCGGAATCGCCAGCACTAGCAGAGGAACCTCTGCTAAGTTCATGGGGGTCACGGGGTCCTCGGTGAACGCTAAGGGCCCGGTGGGGAAGCGAGTGACTGCAGCTAAAAAGCTGAAGTTTGATCGTCGATTGGCTGCCAAGATTTTGGAGCGCTACGGTGGCAAGCAGGCTGATCAGAAATCTGACCAGCACGCTAGCACACTGGAGTGGGCCAAAAAGGTGCTGAACGACGTGAGCGACGGAAAAGTGGGGCCGAGCGGGCCCCATACCTCAATAAAGCGGCAGAGATCGCAGGAGGGGGAATCCTCCCTCGACAAAAAACCTCGGGTCGGACCCGCACCTATGTTTAGCGAAATCGCTAAACTCGCAAGCTCAGTGGAGCTTGGGGTGTACGACCGAAGCAGGGGAGATGGAGCCATCTCTCATGACGAGTGGAAGCGGGTAGCGGCTGCTTTCTCCGCTGTTTTCATGAAGGTAGTCAGGGAAAGCCCTGGACCACCCCCTAGATGTGAAAGTACCGGGTGGAACCTCGGCATTCACAAACTGATTAGATGTGCCGACGAACGGTCGGCTCTCCTTTATAAGGAGGCGGTAGCCAGGGTAGGGGAGGTGTGGAAAGGAGCAAGGCTCGAGGCGATGGACAAATTGGATCTCCCGATGCGGCCTCGGCCTTGGGTCTGGCTTCCGGCCGAACCTTCCACCCCGGCCGAAATTGAAGAGATGTTGCGGTACTGCAACCCATCTCTCCCCATCCCAGACTGGAGGGTGATCAGGCTGGAGAGGACCGAGGCACCATATCGGCAAGCGGTGATACTCCTAAACAAGGAGTCCCTCGCTCCTCTCAGTGTCACAAAGAGGCCATAAGCTATGGCTTGGAGAGGGTCGTTCCCAAGACGCTCCCAACAGAAACCAGGGCGGATGGCCCGCTGCCTCCTGCGGGGGCGGAAAAGAGTGGGAAATTTCCCCTCTCGAAAATGGATGTCGACCCTGTCCTCTCGGACGCGGTGAGCACGGGGGGCGGATCGTCAGGTGATGATGGATCCGTCTTCAGTCTCGAGCATCTGTTCGAGGAGGCTGGCGTCGATGATATGGACGATGTTGCGGAACTCGCACTGCTGGAGAGGAGTTTGGAGGATGCAGATCCTCCAAATTAACCTCCAGCACTCAAAGGCGGCCTCCGCCGATCTAGTGCTTCGTCTAGGAAGGGACGAAGCCGACGTTGTCCTTATCCAGGAACTGTGGCTGAGTAGCTATGGGATATCTGGACTAAGGACAAAAAGCCATAAGTTCCTGGCGGCAAGCAGCACAGGTAGAACCAGAGCCTGCCTGTTGGTCAGAAATGAGCTTAACGTTTTTCTTTTACCTAATTTCAGCAACGAGGACGTCGTCACCGCTAGGCTGGAGGACAGTGCTAGGGAAATCTGGCTTGTCTCAGCCTACATGCCGCACGACGACGAGGTGGAACCATCTCCGAACTTGCTGAGGATGGCTCTGGCAGAGGCCAGGCGCAAGGGAGCCGCGGTTATAATAGGCTCGGATGCCAACTCAAGGCACACCGTCTGGGGGAGCTCGGACACAAACGCAAGAGGTGAGTCACTTTTTGATTTTATTTGCGATGTAGACCTTTTTATCTGTAATAGGGGAAACTGCCCTACTTTTGTGACAGCTAGCAGGGCGGAAGTCCTTGACGTCACGCTAGCCTCTAGGGAAATTGCTCCCTTGATTTCGAAATGGAGAGTTCTACACGCTCACTCCTTTTCTGATCATAAATATATTGGGTTCAGCTTGGACGCCTCGCGCCCGAAGCATAGAACCTACAGAAACTTCAGGAATACCAATTGGGTCCTGTATTGCAGGAAGCTTTGATCAGCTCTTCCAACCGCGCCTGATAGGGGTTCGATCCTATCTGCGGACGCAATTGAGGAGCTCGACGAGGTTTTCAGCTCTGTTAGCAGATCTACTCTTGAAAGCTCCTGTCCTCTGAAAACTCAGAAAAGTAAAGGGAAACCCCCTTGGTGGACTTCGGAGCTAACGGAGGTCAGATCTTCGAGTAGAAGACTCTTCAACAAAGCCCGTAAAAGTGGTTCTAGCGACGACTGGGCGTTGTACAAGGCCGGATTGGCCATTTACAAGTCCGACTTTAAGAAAGCCAAGAGGGCTTCGTGGAAAGCCTTCTGCGGCAGTGTAGAGGGTTGTCACGAGTCCTCAAGGTTTAGACGCATTCTTGCAAAAAATCCTACTCCGGTGGGGTATCTAAGAAATGCAGATAGCGGGTGGACTACGAGTAGCGAGGAGTCGCTGAGGCTACTCCTAGATGCTCATTTTCCACTGAATCGCTTTGCTGAAGAAGTGCCACTGGGGGAGCTTCAGGAAGGCTGTACAGCCTTCTGGATGAGGGTCACCTTTCCTGGGCGCTGAAATCTTTTAAGCCCTTCAAGTCCCCGGGTCCTGATGGCATCATACCGGCGCAACTACAGCGAACGGTTAAGATGTCATGTAGCTGGCTGGCCCCTATCTACGCGAACTGTGTTAGATTGGGCCATGTCCCGAAGGCCTGGAGACAGGTTAAGGTTGCGTTCATTCCGAAGGCCTGTAAAAGCTCTCATGTCGGTGCAAAAGATTTCAGACCCATCAGCCTATCCTCGTTTCATTAGGTGCAGAATACCGAGGGGTAAACTGTTACGGGCCCAGCATGCCTATATCAAGGGCGGTCGACACTGCTTTGCATGATGTAGTGTCGTGGCTGGAGAGAGCGCTGATGCACAAGGAATTTGCAGTGGGCACCTTTCTCGACATCGAGGGGGCCTTCAATAACGTGCGGCCAGAGGCAGTGGTTAAAGTCGTAGCCGAGTGGGGTAGTGCCAAGTCAACCAGAAAGGTTAATAGGGGAACTCCGCAGGGTGGAGTACTCTCACCACTGCTCTGGATCTTGGTGGTAAACGACCTACTTATAGAACTCGAGGAGCAAGGCTGTCGGGTGATAGCCTATGCTGATGATGTGGTTCTTATGGTTAAAGGTAAATTCCTGAATACCGTCTATGAGCTCACCGAAGGGTACCTAAACGTGGTATCCAACTGGGCAAACAGAAGCAGCCTAGCCGTGAAACCAAGTAAAACCGAAATGGTTTTATTCACTAGGAGGTATAAGATTCCAAATGTGCCTCTCCCCTCCTTCGGGGGTTCACGTCTTCAACCTGTTGATAAGGTGAAATACCTAGGGCTTATCCTTGATAGAAAGCTTTCTTGGAGGCCGAACATCGAGGAGAGAGTCAAGCAGGCATCGGTCGCCTTATACTGCTGCAGGGGAGCTGTTCAAAAATGAACATGTGCGTTAGGACCACAAGGTCCCCACTTAGACGGCGTGCAGCAATAAATTTAGTTTTATTATTTTACATATTAAGATAAGAAGCATGTTAGAATATACAGTCCACTAATCCTAAATATGTATACTCAAATATATTTAACAGGCATACATACATACATAAGCAAACACATAAACAAATATACACTCATATGATAACTTGTGACCTAAGATATATATTTAGGCAATTGATTACAAGTGCACAGTGCATCTTGAAAACAATTCCATAACATGTAGCATAAACAATGTGCTACATACATACGGACATACACACACACACTGTATTGAGTTGTACTTAAAACAACCTATATGTTGTCATGCCACATACACATATACATATATACATTTAATTAGATAGTAAGATTTGTAAATAGTATATAAGCCATACATTTTATAAAATAAAATTAGAATGAATAAGTTCTCAGCTCAATGAAGTCTTTTTCTGTCCCCCACCAGCGGTAAGGCAATTAGAATCTTCATTGAGTTTAATAATTGGTCTTACAAATCAATTATACATTTGGTCCTTCGAGCCGGATAGAGCTCAAGGCAAATTACAAAGTCCTGTATGCTAAAGCATACAGGCAATTATACATTTGGTCTTACAAACCAAAAATTATAAGTCCTAATACATACAGGCAATTATACATTTGGTCCTTCGAGCCGGATAGAGCTCAAGGCAAATTAAAAAGTCCTGTATGATAAAGCATATAGGCAATTATATAATTGGTCCTTCGAGCCGGATAGAGCTCAAGGCAAATTAAAAGTCCTGTATGATAAAGCATACAGGCAATTATACATTTGGTCTTACAAACCAAAAATTATAAGTCCTAATACATACAGGCAATTATACATTTGGTCCTTCGAGCTGGATAGAGCTCAAGGCAAATTAAAAAGTCCTGTATGATAAAGCATATAGGCAATTATATAATTGGTCCTTCGAGCCGGATAGAGCTCAAGGCAAATTAAAAAGTCCTGTATGATAAAGCATACAGGCAATTATACATTTGGTCTTACAAACCAAAAATTATAAGTCCTAATACATACAGGCAATTATACATTTGGTCCTTCGAGCCGGATAGAGCTCAAGGCAAATTAAAAAGTCCTGTATGATAAAGCATACAGGCAATTATACATTTGGTCTTACAAACCAAAAATTATAAGTCCTAATACATACAGGCAACAAAAACAAAGACCTGTATTTACAAAACAGGCAAAAACAAAAGCCCTGTAATTTACACAGGCTTAAAAAGCCCTGTTAAAAATACAGGCAAATTTAATAATAATAAAAATAATTAGACGGGTGTATATTCCGCAGTTTTTTATTGATCACTATAAGCCGTTTAGAAGAACTAAACGCATGTTGTCATGATGAAACAAAGTCAAGATGCTCGATTAGAATCGGATACCGTGCTGATCTCCATTTTCGAGAGTAAAATTGAATACCTCAGAAAAGTTATGGATGATCTAAGCAATAAAATAATAAACAGTAACCACAAAAGCTTTTAAAAATTTTATATTTTCAAATGGACAATTTTACACAAAGTACGTAGAGAATGTTCTCTCTTGAAGTTGACGAATTGTACCTTGAAATTATTGCGGAATATTACAAGGCGCTTGAAAATTGTAAAAAAATATTACAAGAAGAAGAGCCCGAAATCAAAGAAGGCGAGCTACGCGTGGAAGATATTACCTTTGAGAAACTACGCTTAGAAAACATTACCTTTGAGAAGGAAAATATATTTGAGGATGCAGCTCTAGTAATTTATGAAGATCTTTCATATATAAAATTTCCTAGAGTAATAGATGTTGAAGTTGATGTCACAATGGAAGAGCACGACCCAATAGTAGCTGATGACGAGTCAATAAATCCAACGCAACACGACCACAAGCAATGCAGGCTGGCAGAAGTAAAAGAAGAAACTAATATTACAACGTTTAAAGATGAGAATGCAGCTCAAGTAATTTATGAAGATTTTTCATATATAAAATTTCCAAGAATGGATATTGAAAAAACCGCATTCAAAGAAGGCGAGCTATGCGTAGAAAACATTACCTCTGAGAAGGAAAATACATTTGAGGATGCAGCTCAAGTAATTTATGAAGATCTTTCATATATAAAATTTCCAAAAGAAATGGATGTTGAAATTGATGCAAAACAAAGAAAGAACGAGCGATTACACCAACTATAGAAATGTCTTCTCTCTCAAGTGGCATTTTATTTGCCCGGAGAGTCCTCACTTTGGAGGAATTAGGGAGGCTGGTATTTTGTCATAGACGCAACATTGGATCCTGATCCTCCTGATGAAGAGCCAAATAAAGATGTGGAAATTAAAGTTTCGACGATGGAGGCATAACAAATAAAGATGGCTTAGATGATTTTAAGTTTGGTGCTACAATTAAAAGAGACGGAACCCAACGCCCAAGGAGAAAAACGTATGAGACGTCCGCCAAGCAGTGAAGAGGAGTATGGTCAGTCACAAATAAAGAAGGGTAAAATCAAGGGTACACCGCCGTCTGATGAGAGAGAGAAGACCGACAGAATACCTTTGCGACAAATATAAAGAAATAGTTACAAGTATACTATCACAATACAACACAGGAAGGCGCATAGTCATCGTGAAATGTTATTTGATATGTTAAGATTTAAATGGCAGAAAGGCGAATATGCAGCCACCAGCTACGACGTCACTTAGTTGACGAACATGACACGACTACATGCTGCGGGCATCTTTCCAGCCGTCACTTTGTCGCCCGGGAGTATGTTCAAAAATGAACATGTGCGTTAGGACCACAAGGTCCCCACTTAGACGGCGTGCAGCAATAAATTTAGTTTATTATTTTACTATTAAGATAAGAAGCATGTTAAGAATACAGTCCACTAGTCCTAAATATGTATACTCAAATATATTTAACAGGCATACATACATACATAAGCAAACACATAAACAAATATACACTCATATGATAACTTGTAGACCTAAGATATATATTTAGGCAATTGATTACAAGTGCACATGTGCACTTGAAAACAATTCCATAACATGTAGCATAAACAATGTGCTACATACATACGGACATACACACACACACACATGTATTGAGTTGTACTTAAAAACAACCCTATGTGGTGAGCATGCCACATACACATATACATATATATACATTTAATTAGATAGTAAGATTTGTAAATAGTATATAAGCCATACATTTCATAAAATAAAATTAGAATGAATAAGTTCTCAGCTCAATGAAGTCTTTTTCTGTCCCCCACCAGCGGTAAGGCAATTAGAATCTTCATTGAGTTTAATAATTGGTCTTACAAATCAATTATAAAGGAGCTATAGGGAAAAGGTGGGGACTCTCATCAAAGGTGGTATTCTGGCTCTACGAAACCGTAGTCAAGCCAATACTGTTCTATGGTGTATTCGTCTGGTGGAAGGCGCTCGAAAAGACTACCCTGGCTAAAAAGCTTGAGCGAGTCCAAAGAGCGGCGCTCATCGGAATCTCCGGTGCACTGCGAACCACACCAACGATAGCTCTCAACGCTATATTAAATAAAGCACCTGTGGACATTACCGGTAGGTGCATTGCTGCTAGGTGTGCTATTAGGCTCAGAGAAGCTGGGCTTGTGAATAGGTCCGAACAAGGACACGCCGCAATTCTCTCCTCCTTCACCTGCATTCCTGAAAATTTGGATCACTGCGTCACAGCGGCCACTCGAGGCGGCTTTTTCTCTGCTCATATCCCGACGAGGGAGATGTGGAGGGGAAGAAGCCGCTGGAGAAGAGGCGCGGTGAGTTTTTTCACGGATGGGTCGAAGCTAGGAGGGAAAGTTGGAGGGAGGGTTTTCTGTAAAGAGCTCTCCGTCAATCTTTGCTTCAGGCTACTGGACCACTGTAGCGTTTTTCAGCCGGAAGTGGCCGCGATCAAGGTGGCAGTAGAAGTACTGTTACGTAGTGTAGCTTCGTTTAGAGAGGTGAGCATTCACTTCGACAGCAGAGCGGCAATACAAGCACTGAGTGCGCGAACTGTGCATTCAAAGCTAGTTAAGGAGTGTCTGTCCTCGCTAGAATTAGCATCAGGCTCGTTTGGGTGCCTGGTCACAGCGGAATCGCTGGGAATTGCAAGGCCGATGAGCTGGCCAGGGGGGGTACCCTTGCCCCGCCCACATCGGAATGGGATCGAGTTGGTTCTCCACTAACGTCTGGCATTTTGGCTCTGGACCAATGGACCTCGCATGCGCTCAGCAGACGCTGGTCGACGACCATCTCCTGCGCGATCCTTCTGGCCGAGAGTGGATCGTAGGAGGTCGGGGGATCTTCTCGCCTTGAACAAAGTTCACCTCGCCGCCATGGTAGGAGTTCTCACTGGGCACTGTCCAATGGGAACTCATGCGGTGCGGCTTAGAATATTACCCGATGGCAGTTGTCAAAGCTGTATGGAGGAGGGTGAAGTGGAAACATCCCGGCATTTTCTCCTCCATTGTCCGGCTTTTGCTAGGTTGAGATTGAAACATCTCGGCAATCACACTTTTGGCGGACCAGAAGATCTGGCCGAAACAGATATTGGCCGTCTCAACAAGTTTGTCATAGGCACAGCTTTGTCGACATGTAAGGGTCTATTGATCCGGCTCATAGGAGTTTTGGGTACCACAACGGACCGGCGTTTAAGCTGTCCAAGTGTGATCCTTCTTAGAATCGACCCTCTAACCTAACTTAACCTAATAGAACTTCTGCAGAAGTAGCTCGACTACAAGCGACATATATTGAAGCTCTAGGCATTCTGGGTCGAGTATGAACTACAACTTTATTATATGTGGCGCCCTGACTTTTATGAATAGATATTCCTTCAGCCGGAACAACTGGAAACTGATTTATGTCAATTGAAATTTGTTCATTTATTTTATAATGAAAAGAGTTTAGAACTTTTTCATTTGGTGTCCAAGAAATTTCTAGAGGCTTTTTTGATCGTGCTATCAAGCTAACAGAAGGTTCCAAAAATTTAATCCACAGAATTGTTGAAAATGAACAATGGAAATCAATTTGCATAAGTAGTCCAGCTGCCCCATTAACCAAGCCATCAGACGTGTTTATATTCACTGTTTTCATCTATTTGGCGGAGGTTTTAAGTACCAATTCATAGGGCAGTCCCTGCATTTCAGAAGTTTTGAAAAGTTTAACTCTTTCCAAAATATTCTCATTTTCACTTATACCAATTCCTTTAACGGAGTCTTTTGCAGTTGAGAGGATAGCTTCAGTTGGGACTCGACTTCGAATGATCTTAAGGGCATTGCAGTTATTTATCTCTTCATTGGACCAAACTAAATGTATGGCATCATCGGGAACTTCCTCGAAATTAACTACTCGAGTTTCAATGAGTGATATGTCTTCATTTGTCATATTACCAGATGCCATATGGTTTAATGCAATTGAAAAGGACTGATGCTGCCGTTGTCTGCAACAGGTGAGAGTTACTTCAAATCACCAAACACAATATCGGTATATCACCGAAGGGGCTTTTAAATCGATAAGTCTGGAATACAATGAATTAACTGTCTCTCTCTATTCAACTGAGTAACAGGTAAAGAGAATATTGAATGAAGGGTCATTCCTCCTATTGCGAATGCTGATTTACCCGTAGGTGCGCAAAGAAGAACTTTTAAGGAACTTGGATTGGATCCAGGTGTAGAATTGTAACGATGGTTCCTACACCTGCACCGCCGCCAATGGACTCATAAAGTGGGCGATTTGGTTTTAGCTGCATTAAATGTGTCAAATAGGTCCTTTGCTAAGTATTTAGACTTTTAAGTAAAGAAAATAATTCCTCAACTGGAACTAAAAGGGGTAGTTTAATAAGTCTAACATAGCAATCAAATTCAGTGCCATTATCTGTTGAATTGTTGAATCTTCACCATGCAAGTCCAGCAAATTTATATATTGGGTTTATTTCTGGAAGTGCCAACACTATGTACTCATTTTCCACGATAGGTAGTTCATTTTGAGCACTTTCCTCTAAGTCTATTGCATTATAAAGCCTTTCTAGAACATTTCCGAGTTCTTTTTGCTAAGAAACATCATAATTTCTTTGATTTTCCTCAATTAGAATACGATAAGTTATGCAAGTAAAATAAAGTAGTAAAGCATTACCATTTCGCGGAAATACTCAACTCTGGTCAAATCTGGGTTAAACCTGCTATACCGAATTATACATGGTTTGGTACGTTTTTTAAAATAACTGTTACCGTCTTTAAGA